TTCTCAAAGTCGAAAGTTAATTGATAACAGATCGTTCGATAACATGGTCAACTGAATCTTGAACGTCGATACCCATCACTCACGATATATTCTTAGTGAACAAGAAACTCGTGAGGATTACACGTGTCGAGTACTAGACTCGTACATATATGAGGGTTATAGAAAAGCTTGTGAAGCGTTTCGAAACGAATTCATAAAATGATCCATATGCACTTCAACATAAGAACATTTAATAAGAAATAAATAATTCAGCTTTCGTCAAATTAATTATTTCTGATTCATTAATTTAAACAGCCTTCAGATAGAATAATGAACAAAGACTATAGATTTATAACGGCCAATATATTAATACAACTTTCACGAAAGTTCACAATTATAGAAAATCAAGTTACCAGTTACTGATCATGTATCCAGTCAATCGTAATAATTATAACACTATTAGATCCAGCCGAATAGATGTCATAGTTGATGTGTTGCTACACTTTTGCCTGAACCTAGACACGATTCATAATTAATGAGGAAAATAGTGCAGAGAACCGGTCATACGGGATAATTTGCTTGCTGACAGATGTTCCTGACCATATTCTTTTTTATTCATTAATAATTTACAATAAATTAGTCGACATATTTCGCCATGTTTATAGCATTATCAGGACAAAAGAATATTGACAGAAAATTGATAACATATATAGTTAGAGAGAAAAGAAAAAAAATGACATCATATTCAAGAACATTTCTGTGAATTCGACAAATCGAAAACACTAGAATACCTCCACTTCTAATGCATATTGTTATGTACTGATCAGTACATAACAATATTCCCTTCCCCATGACCATTAATTCATTTTATTTTGACTTTAGGTTTGGTTGGTTGTATACCTTCAGAATATACAACCAATGAAACAGATGACAGGGTTCTATTTTACCTTCATTTGATACATTCATTTGTATAACCAACATTTCTTATTTTGGGTGTGGGTGTGGACAAGTGGACGATTCGTCGCTACTTTTCATTCCGAACATCCATTTTTCTTCAAAAAATCATCACTTTTAAGATAAAAATATCGGATGTTCATAATTAGAAAAATACGGATGTTCGGAGTGATCATCAAAAAAAAACCGGATGTTCGTAAAAATTTTTAACGGGTGTTCGAAACAGCGAAGACACGCACATTTCTATGTGAGAAACTGGATAACTTTAACAGGTGTTTGTAAAAGAGACTACCGGGAGTTCGGAATGAAAATATAGGGATGTTCGGAACAGCAATAGATGGCTGACCTATCTACTTATTTTGCCTTTTTATTATCAGAAATAAATGAGTTTTTGAACAAAGAACAATATTCACATACAGAAAGTCGAACTCTTAAAAAAACCAATGGCATAGAGATAGAGAGACATTTCAATAATAAAAAAATAACAAAAAAAAAACAGTAAATTTCTATTAGTTGTTCTTCTTCTTCGCCAGACACAAACAAGCGGAGATGGACTGTTTTAGCGGCAGATATTTAGAAAAAAAGGGAATAAACTTTTCAACTAAACATCACAAAACTATGAATAGTTAATAAGAGTGAACAGTCACCGTTGCATTTTACTATTCCCTTTTTTGCTGTTATCCTTGTTGCTTTTATCTTTGCTGTGCCGGCTGCTGCATATTTTTTTGATTTTTTTGGAGATCAAGAGTGAAGGATAGTAAAAGAGAATGAATTTTTTTTCTTCTGATCATTATCACGCAACGCCATCAAGAGAATTAAGGATGTCATACTTCATGAACGAAGCCAATTGTTTCTCTACAGCTCTATATCTAAGTCTGTTTTGAACACCAGTTATTTTGTCCTGGACATTCTTATGTCTGAAAGTGTTCATTCATTTACAATAAAGATAAATATTTATGAGAAAACTCTTCGCTATTTTATCATAATATTCAAAAGATGTCGATTGTGAAAAAGTTCAACAAAAAATCATAGTTAAACAAAAATATGATTACAACTATTATTATTTGTATTACAAATAAAAAATTTCTCGTGAATCAAGAAGTATGAGTCAATCCGGACAGGAAAAACTGGAAACTAGTGACACTTAAAAGCAGTATTCAGAATCGAGAAGCCTCGAGAACATTGTATTTGACTTCCGATCAACTTCCTCTTCTTTCCGAGAGAAAAGAAACAGTGAATCATTGAGAAAAAATCTGGAGACTCTCGAGTTCTGAATAATGCTTCTATTTTGCATCGATTCTGTCTGGTTCAGGTAAAATCTGATTAATTTTGATGCCAGAAATGAACGATTTCAGATTGATTTCTTTATTTTTATATATAAAATTCACTCATATTTGAAAGATTTAAGATTTTCTTTGCTTGATCTGTTTTGTTCTTTAATATTTTTTTTTCATTTAGTGTAGGAAATATTTTATAGAATTTGTATAAAGAAACACCAATATATAAATAAAAACCATGGTCTCTACAAACATTGTAAAAGAAAAAATTTTCGAATATAATTTTTGCTTTGTAAATTCTGACTTAATGTTAATGGAGATCAATGATGAAAGATGATAAAATCATTATCGATTACAATCATTGTAAAAGAACGCAAAAGGACAATTATCTTAATCTGAACTCTAATTTTATATTTATCTTTCAGTACAATTCGATCTTGTGACTATACCAGTTATCGTCCATGACAAGAGAACGATAAGACAAAAGTAATATGATAAGTGCACATCTATATGCCCTAATTTAAAACAGTCTTTATATATACTATACGAAGAACAAAAAAAATACTCGATAGTCACGTCATTTTGTCATTGTTAAATAGTTTTTAAAATGCAATTGTATAATGTCAGCATCTATTTCACATAAATTTTTTCATTATAGTGGTCTATTTCTTTTCTTATATTGGTATTATTTTTGGCTAATTCTCACTGCTGTTAAATAAATTTTATAGGCATTCTTAAGTGGCTCATACACTTATCATGTTATTCCATTAAGTATGGCAACATATGTGTATATGTTCGACAGTTACTATTCAATAGTGCTGAAAGAAGTAACTGCACAATGTTAGTATCTATTCAACGTAAATTCGGTCATTTTGGTTGCGTCAGTCTTTACATAAATTTCTAAGACTAAACTAGCTGTCATGATTTATGAGCATAGGGTCCGGGAGAGACATCAAATTTCTACATCTAACCTTCAACACTCCTTTTAGATCGTGTTTCATAAATGTAAAAAACAGTTCTTTTTGTTAAGAAACATAGTAAAAAAAAAAGACAGCAAAGTGACTAACAAACAACTGCATTCGTTACAGAACGATCAAACTCACTTTTGTCTTAATGGAATTTTTACAGTAAATAAAAGAAAAGATTTGATTTTTTATATCTCTTATCATCTCTCCTTATTGTTTACAATATTCAGTTAAGAATAAAAAAAAAGAACAATAGCCTTGACATAACCATTAAAGTATGAATAGTAAATAAATATACAAAGAATTCTCATTTCTTTCTAAAACAAAACACATTTCTGTTTTTTTATCAATAAATGTTTACTTTTTGTCTGCAAAACGAATTCTAGTTATCAAAAAAATTTCATTCAATAAAGACTTTTCTATAATCTTTATTACATTTAATCTATGCTAAATTATTAAAAACTATGGATGATTGTGCTCATGTGTCTGCCAGAAACAAAAAAAAAAAGTCCTGTTTTATTATATGTTGACAAAGTTCAAAACTCATAAGCATCTCATCGAAGTGATTTTCTTGCACATACGTAATTTCCAGATCACATGGAAATTTTATGATCCAACTAGTTTAATAAAAAAAAATTTATTGGATTTTTATAGGTCTTACTGGTTGTATCAAATCAAAAAAGTATTTTTTTTCCATCAAAGCATATTTTATTGGATTGAAAAACAAGATTCTGTAAAACAATGAGTCACGAATGCCATAGTAATAAAGAAAAAAAATAAAGAAAGAGCAAAGCTAACGTTTTTTTTTTGTTTCATACTTGGTAATTTCCAATAAACTTTTTCCCAGTCGATGGAATATAAAAGGTCGACAGAAATGTTGTACTGATATCAAATTTATTAAGCATTAAAAGAATTCTAACCAAGTTAATTCAATTTATTGAAACTCGAACGTCTACAGTTCTGTCAAGAATTTTCATATCAAACTCAATTACAACTGAAATTTTCGGTCATATAATTATCCAAGTTTATCAACTGGTATTTTTTCACGGTAAGACTATGGTTAAGATTTTTATTTGAATAATAGATTTAATAGACTTTATCAAAGTTGAGTTAAATTCTAAATGAATATTTCCTAATTTAAATCTTATTATTTCTTCAAATATTTTAAATTGAATTTCAAATAAAATATTCATTTTTAATTTGAAAATGAATTCTTTTTTTTTTTTTCAAGAGTAAATCCATATACAAAATGCACGTAGGTTGATCAAACTTTTTTCTTTTGAAATATTTCATAGTTATACCAATTGGATATATAGGTTCAATATATAATCATTTAGTTTTCGATTATCAAACGGAGTTTAGAAAGAAATTTGATAAATATCTCTTCGTAATAGAAGCCCCATTTAAAGGGTCTCTCCCGCAAAACTTCCAGTTTTTCCCAGCAACATCTGGCCAACGTTTGCAAGGCCAAATAGAACTCCCGGGAGCTTCTAATATGGGACGGGGGTTTAAGTAAATATCAAATATACCTTCTTCGTTGATTAAAAATGTTGGATTGTCAACAAAACTCAAAGTTTGATACGTTACGATTTACAACTGTCGATCGAAGCTTGTTGGAAAAAAAACAAATTTGAATTCTTAGCTATTTGTTTTTTACACAGATGAAAAGGAATAGAATCAAACATTCGTATTATTTGTTGGCATTGAAACTCATTTAAAATAAACAAATTTATATATTGAATAACAATCATAACCTATAAATAAGATTTTTTGAAATATAAATTTAATAGTTTGTTTTATATATCTATATTAAATAATTATATTTATGATATTAATTTCAGGTATTCTTCATCAATTTAAACTAATGTCTCTAGTAAGTTAAATATACAAGATTATGAAAAAAGAAATTTCTTGAATGTTCTACGTACATTAGATCGAAATAAAATTAAATAGAAAAGAAGTTGAAAGAAGTCGTCTTTCTCTTATTATACATGATGTAAATATGGAAATTCAAGAGAAAGATATTGAGAAAATTCTTAAGAATAAAATAGGAATTCCACTGCCTGAAATCAAATTCGGTAAACCTTATCGTAAGTACTAAAAAAATTTGAATCCAACAACAAAAAAATAAATGGTTTTTTTTTTGTCAGAACTAAATGGTCAAAAACGAAAAAACGTTTTTCTAAATTTTAAAGAAGAAAAAAGAATTAATGAATTAATGAAGAATCCAATCATTAAATATAATAATCAAGAATATCAAATATCACGACATAATCCAAAAGAAATTTCTTTATCTGGTCAAATGACTTGTTATTTATTAATCAAAATATCTAAAATAGAAGACGAAAATGGATTTAGAAAAATACTTACTGAATATGATTTAAATGAATATTTTCGAAAATTTGGTAAAATAATTTCTTATCAAAAAGAAAATGATAATGAAATAATTCTTCAATTCGAACAGTAATATTTATTTCTTAACCATTTTAAAACATTTGATGATTTTGTTGTGTTTTTTTTGTCAGTTATGATATTGTTGATCAAATTATTCTAAGTGATATATCACATACAATCAATGGAATAAATATTCAGATTGAAAAAACTCGATCTATTGAAAAGGGTATGTTTAATAAATTCACTTATAAATAATCATAGAAAAAATGTTTATATTCTAGTTAATAAGGATGATATTAATCAATGTCCGTATTGTATTCATGTAACTAATATGCCGAGTGATATAACAAGTGAAGAATTATCTTTATTATTTGATGTTCATGTTGCCGATATTATTTTACAACCAGAATATTCACTTAATGAACATCTAGTGAAAGATGATCAATTAAATAGTCAAGCATGGATTAAAAATATCGGTAAAGAACAAACGATAAGAGATTTAGCCATAAAAAAACCACAAATAAATTTACGTGGATTTCAAATTCATTGTAATGTTATCAACAAACCAATCTATCCATTTGAATTATGTAGAAATTTTGAATTAGGAAAATGTGAATTTTCTTCACAGCTATGTTATTATAAACATATTATTTGTAATCAACCAAATACATGTGATAATAATCAATGTCATTATGGTCATAGTAAAAAGAGGCAAATTATATCGAACAAACAAAACATAGAATGTAAGTTTTATTGTTAGATAATATTGTGATATAATCTAGGTTTTTTTGTTTTTTATATAGATTGTGAAAAAGATCTTTATCGTGTAAGAATTAGTAATCTTCCATCAAATACAAGCAAAGAAGAATTACAAAAACGATTAAATATATCAGAAAAACAGTTTTCACATCTTATTTTATCTAAAGATGAAAATCAAAATGCATCATCATCATCATCAATGGTTGCATATTTTATCTGTCAACGATCAGAATACTATATTCGAAAAAAAATTCGAGAATGGCATAATAGTTCATATTCTAAATCTATATCCAATAAAATAAAATGTCAATTAGAGATCAATGTCGATTTTCATGATTGGAAGGATAAAAATCAAAGTTCATCATCATCAATTCGAATGATAAATGATAATAATCAATTAACAATACCTAAATATGCACCTTGGTATCGACGAGAAAAAGAATTCCAAATTGAACAATCCAATAATAATAAAGATTCGAAAAAGAAAAATTTAGTAAAAAGTAAGATAAAAGAAGAATTTTCTTTTTTTTTTTTTTTTTTTGTGAATTCTATTATTGAATCTAAACAGATAATTTTGAAATTCCAGTTGATCTGAGTGAAGTTACCTCTCAATGGAATTGGACGAATAAAATTCTCTCAGATGATCCAACAGGTACAGGCACAATATATTCTCTTGTTAATAAAAAAAATTCTGATATTAAACGAGTTATTAAAATCTATAAGAATAACAACAATAAATTACTAAATCAACAATGTTTACAACATCTAGAAATCATCTTAGACAAGATTAAAAGTAAATATTATATAGATTTTTTTATTTATTATTCAAATAATTATTTATATTCTTAGACATGAATGGAGTACCGAAATTTGTCAAAAGTAATATAAATAACAAATCAAATGATCCTTGGATTATAATGGAAAATATTGAAGGTATTACACTACATGATTTTATCAAAATAACAAGAGTAGATTTACAAGATGCATTAATAATTACTTTAAAACTTCTCAATATAGTCAAAGAAATCCATCATCGAAATATTGTTCATTGTAATATTAATCCTCATAATATTATCATTAAGTTTTCATCAATTAAAGAAAATAATCAAAGAGAATATTCATTTGATAATGCAGATTTAATATTAATTGATTTTGATATAGCTTATTGTGATGTTCAAAAAGCTAATGAACATAAACAACATTTAAATGATTTTATTAATTGTAAAAATATCCAACCAAATCAGATATTCTATCGTGTTTCTCAAATCGAAAGAGATAATACCGATAAAAATGAACAAAATAATTTATCTTATATTCGAACCTTTGATATAAGTCATATATGTGCTATTCTTTTCTGGTTAATTACAAAATCTTATCCAGGAACATCAAAAGATATTAATGAAAAACAACCACACAAATTAAAAGATAATATTAAAATTATTGAAGAAGAATTGAAAAAAGCAACAGGTTTATTTAAGAATAATTATCTTTTTGTTAAATAAATTATGTGTTTTTTTCTTTTTGCTCTCATTAAGGAATATGGACAGGAACAGAAAAATGTGCTCCATTAGAAAGACATCTTGATTTAATATTTAATTGTGGATTTTCAGATTCTAAACAACAATGGAATATTGAAGAACTTGAATATCAACTTCTATTTATGCTTCAATTAACAAAGAAAAATAATGAAGAAGACAAGTCCTATTTAACATCATCAATAAACAACCAAACAGAATTATTAATATATACTTCAAAAAATGATTCTTTTCCTCAATTAGTATTCTTAATTGATTGGCTTAAACAAGAATTTGAAAAACATTCTGAAAATCTTCATTGGTCACCAAATAATAAACAAAGTCAATGGTCAGGAAACAATCGATATATTGAAAATTATGATATACTTCATTTTCAAAAAGAACAATTTAAAATTTCTTTTGAAATAAAATGGAATGTAACAATCAATAACAATAATGAACTTCATATGATCATCAAAGCTAAGATAAATCAAACAATTGTTATTCAATTACCATTAGGCATTTGGCAACAATATCACAAAGATAATATTAAACAAGATTTACTTAAAAATGTTCAAATTGAAATAGAAAATTTAGTTGATTTATTATATTATAAGGAAAAAAACACCTAAATAATTTAATCATTCAGAAAAAACAACATTTTCATCATTAATTTTTTTTTCTGAAATAAATATAATATCCGATACAAACTACTTTGAATTTTCAAACTGTTTAGCATTTAGAAAAAAAAGAATAATATCATTTTCAATGAATTTTCTCTCGTTCAATAGTGATAAGATTAAATCGAACATAATTTGAATATTGATTATATAGAGACTCTATAACATTGAATATTCCACTGATCATTAAATAAAATTTATTTAAATCCCATCTTTTGAATATTGAACTTCAACTCTTCACTTATAATTTATCTCACTATGTTTAAAACAAGCGAAAATTCTGAAGATCGTTATTAATAATAAATTTATTTAACAAACATAAATAGAAGGTTTCCAAAGCTTTTTTTCTCTCGACTCTCCTAAAAGTCATAATTTCAGTTAGGTTATTCTATTATAATACACAGCCACACTCACATCCAAAATTGCTTTCTATTTAACTATTTGTATATTCCATTAAACATGAATTTCATTGAACAACAATGACTTGTTTTTTCATCTAGGCCATCATTCTATGTGTATTCTTTTCATGAATATTTTATTGCTGCTAACTGCAATCCTTTTTAACAGAATAATTCTTTAAAAGAATTTAAAAAAACACGAACAAAAGAAGATAAAGCAGATAGAATGGAACAGAAAGCATTGCCATATCGCAAGTGGAAGAAAGGGGTGTGGGTGTGGGTGGGTGTGGGGTGTGGGTGTGAGGTGTGGGTGTGGGTGGGTGTGGATGTGGGTGTGGGGGTGTGGGTGGGTATGGGCGTGGGAGTGGGTGTAGGTATGGGTGTGGGTGTGAGTGTGGATGTGGGTCTCTCTTAACCCACACCCGCACGAAACAACGTTGATAATTATGATGAAAGACATGAGTCAGGAATAAAAATGCGTCAATATTTCTTACTTTTTCGACTTTCCCACGGCGTCAAACCTTGGAGCTTCGCTATTGTTTCATCATTTTTACTAATGACGATATGATATACAAGAGACCACTTTTATGAAAATAACAATAATTAGTAATTATGTACACATGTTAGAACTAAGAAGTGGGACCATTGCGCATGTTTCAAGAATATTCTTTCATTATTCTTTGAGTCATATAGAATGATGCAAAAGTCGACGTATTATGTATCTCAAAAGTTGGAAAATTCTACAGGTTGAATCTTCATTTTTCCAAGAATACAACTTACGATCATATGAAGAAAGCAACCGTCTGACTGTACACACTCAAAACAATAATTAGAATTTTATTACTCATAGTATGTCTAAACATTAGTTTTTTTATTCTTTCTTGGAAATCAAAGAAAGAAAGATAGGAAGAGAAGAAATGAGTTAAACAATTTACTTCCGTTCTATTTCTTCCTAAGTTTACATATATTTAAGTGAAAAAGTGAATGTTGTTTATTCATGTATAAGAAAAATTCGGCGAAAAAGTAAGTAGTTTCGTGCCGCTAACATGGAAAGTCATCACGCAGGAATAGAAAAGTAGTTTAGAATTGAAATATAAAGAGTGTTCCGGAAGTTCTGAAACGTTTTTAAAATTCATCGTTCGCGCATTCACCAAAAGCAAACTCTTTAAAACTTTCACAGATTATTGTACATATGTAGTTTTACATAACTAGAAAGTTTGAGATCTGTAGCTTTGACTATGGATGAGAAACTGTAAAAACACTGTCATGTGCTATTTTGAAAAATTTCCAGCAGTGAAAATTTGATATAAATGGATGTTCTGGGCGTTCTAAAATGATTTTAAAATTCATAATTCTCACGTCCAACAAAAGCAAGGTCTCTGAAACTTTCACAGATTAATGTAATGTACATATGTAGCTCTACTTAACTAGGAAGTTTGAGGTCTATGGCTTTTACTATGGATGAGAAACTGTAACAATACTGCCACGTACTAGTTTTTAAATTTTCTTCATCATCTTGATTATTATTTTAAAAATAATACAATTTTTAAAGATAAAAAACAAATAAGAAATTATCAATGTTCTTGTATTTGATTACCACCTTGATCAATAACTAATTTTAATCGTGCTGGTATTTTATCTATCATTCGTTGACATAAAGAAACACTAATTTTCTTCCATTCCTTTTTTGAGTCGCAAAGCATTTGTCGTTGTGTAGGATGGTAGATTTTCGGATTGAAGAAGCAACTTTGCAATATCTTTCGGTTTCCATGATGGATGCAATTTTTTAAAAATGTAATACGAATGAACGAAATTGTTTTTTATCTTTATCAGACTGTTCAAATAACATTTTGTGTTCATTCAGTAGTAACGGACTAATATTGCACTTTATATATCTCCCCCATCTATACGTACAGATACAAAAAATATTTTGGTAAAAGAAAAAATGTGTTCTGGCACGTGTTAATTAAATAAGCACTCGAAATAACAATGTTTCTCCCGTTCTTATATCAAATTTTCGCTGCTGGAAATTTTTCAAAATAGCACATGACAGTGTTTTTACAGTTTCTCATCCATAGTCGAAGCTACAGACATCAAACTTTCTAGTTATGTAGGACTATATATGTACAATAATCTGTGAAAGTTTTAAAGAGTTTGCTTTTGGTGAATGCGCGAACGATGAATTTTAAAAACGTTTCAGAACTTTCCGAACACTCCTTATCTTTTTATTAGCTTTGTTCAAGAATAATATGAGA